TGACAATGAAGGCTCAAATTAAACCTGAGATGCAAAAATAAAGACAGGACTCACGACTGGAATTGTTTGCGGTGACAGTCAACTCATGGAAAACAAGCAACCTGACAGCATGAAGACATAACTTGGCACCAGGAAGCAAAAACTCAAGACTATATCATACTTGGAATTGGCACACACCTGTTATATTTATTTGAAGCAGTCTTGACAACAGATACTGCCAGTTTGGCTCGGAGAGTGATGGATCGACGTGCCTAATCAGGAGCCAAACTAGTGCTGCTGGTTGTTAAATAAAGAAGGAAGAAAAATAAATAAGTCTGGTGTAAATGTTTCCATGTAAGAATTGGCTAAACAGCCTTAAGGCATAAACAAGCCACCGAGCCCCAGCTGGCACGAGGAGGAAGCAGTGATCGACTCTAAATCTGAATTTAAGAATTTTAAAATATCACTATCCTACTGACAGATAACAAATCAATGATATCAAATGGTTTGTTTTGTTTGATTGCGTGCTCTTTTAACATAATGACTGGCTGTGCTGCAAACACAACTGTGGATTGTAACACATGAATTCCACTTCCTGTCTCTCAATACAGCTGTTTTGTGAAATATGGCACGTTTTACAGATGTATTATCACCTTGAAAACTTGCTTTCAACTTGCCCTAAAAATAACCGTGACTTGTGAGACTGGTATCTGGGCTGAACGAACAGGTTGAAGCTTCAAGCTTCATTCATAACACTGACAATCAAATTCTACATCAACATTGGAGTGCTGCACAGCTTTCCTTTTTTTTTTTTTTTTGCATTTTCAAAATTGCATTAAACCTGATATGTTTGCACAGTTGCAGATAAATATTAAGCTACACTAATATTATTAGTATTAGACTATCTGTTGCATTAGATTTTCAATAACTCACTCAATTTCCAATAACTAAAAGTCAAGATTTATTGAACAAAGATAGATGTTATCATCATTTGTTTTCATCTAATGAAACAGTATAATGGAACTTCAGGTAGGAGTGTCCTGATATACCAGTATTGATGACAACCATTCATTTTCATCCACTTATCCGGGGCTGGGACAGGGGGGCAGCAGGCCAAGCAAAGCACCCCAGTAGTCCGTCTCACTATCAATGCTTTCCCGCTCCCCTTGGGGGACCCGAGGCGTTCCCAGGCCAGATGTGATATATCATCTCTCCAGCGTGTTCTGGGTCTGCCCTGGGGCCTCCTACGAGTTGGACGTGCCAAGAACACATCTAACAGGAGGCGCCCAAAAGGCATCCTGATCAGATGCCTGAACTACCTCAACTGACGCATTTTGACACGAAGAAGCAGCGGCTCTACTCCGAACTCCTTACCCTATCTCTAAGGCTGAGCTCAGCCACCCCACGGAGGAAATTCATTTGTATCTGCAATCTCATTGTTTCTGTCACTACCCAAAGCTCATGACCATAGGTGATCGTGCTAGGTGTACATGGACCAGTAAATAGAAAGCTTTGCCTTTCGGCACATCTCCGTCTTCACCCTGATGGTGTAGTGAAACCGCCGATCCATCTCACGCTCCATTCTACCCTCACTCAAGAGCAAGACCCCGAGATACTTGAACTTGAATGCAGTAACTCTCCCTACCCAGAGGGGGCAGAGAAAACCATGATATATAAAATGAAATATTGACATCATGTTACAAATGCACATATGATAATATCGTATAAGTATCCAGCACCTCTTAAATTATTTCTGTTTCTTCCTGTTTTCCCCTCATCTCTCTTCCCACCACCTGGTTACCATTTCAATATTTCATCCTTCAAGTGAAACTGCTCTTTCTGTAAATCCTTTAAAGGTTTGGTTACAGACTCTCTCCCCACCTCCTTACACTTGTATTTTGAGTGTCATTCATTTGCCAAAAAAAATTCACAATAACATTGTTATTTGGGAGCTCTTTTGGCCACGATACGTGTGTAGTACAAATCTGGTTTCATGCCAGCTGTAGATTTAATCCCTTTTTATTGGCATTTAGCCTTTTAAAAACAACATTTTTACTACGAACAAAAACGGTTTGCTCTCTGCACCTGTATTAACTGTGCAGTGTGGCAGCAATCTAACGTCACCATAAATTTCATTTATATAACCACTATAAAAAAGACTACTGTGGCTCTAACACTATTACGGTGAGAAGACATTCGGTACAGCTTTAACTTGTTCTAAATTAAGACTTTATTAGATTAGATGATATCTTTTTTTTATTATTAAAAAATGCCATGTTGGTTATTATGAAATGTGGAATCAAACTGGTACATCTTGTCCTTAATCAAATATCTCAAAATAAGATTACTGAATATTTAGAATTCCCTGATCTGATGAGACATTTCTGCAAATGAAAAACTCAACAGTGTATTTGTGGACAAACGGTGATGTAGTTTCAGAGGCCAGAGGGTAGACAGAGTAGAAATATTGTCTGGACAAGACTAACAGGTTTAATATTGCTGCTGGTGAGAATATTTTCTTTCTGGGCTCTTAAGTTCCCACTCAACCTTGGAGCATACTTTGTTTACCAACACTCAGACCGTATTATTCTTCTGACCCAGCTTCCTCTCGCAGTCCAAACTGCACAGGATCCCTGGAGAAGCCTCACTGAACTGGGCCATCATGTTCTGATGAGCCGTCTTGCATATACAAACAACAGGCTGTGCTTATCAAACAGCTGCTAAACCTTCCTGCTGCAGCGAGGCTCTGCTGCCATAATGCACCCAAAACAAAGATATCAAACCGGGAAATCAATAATCACTCCTGAGATATTCTCTCCAGTGAGACAACGAGAGCTGCTCTCAGGGAGGTAATACAATTCTGAGATAACCGCCTCTAAAAGCAAAAGTTACGTCAATTATTAAGAGAGTTTAAATGTTACAGAAACCCGCAGAGAATACAGATCAGTGGATACGATCACGAGAGAGCTGAAATGCAACCCGACAGTAGTGCTGTAATCCTATATGTCATGTTAATCATGCAGAGCACGCTCATGCACAGAGTAGGACAATTCAATACAACAGTCTAAATATAAATTCCTAGAATACACGAGAAAACTTTGGAAAGTCTGACATCCTCTTCACATCTAAAGACAAGGTGAGTTTACAGTCACACACTATATGATTTTGCAAAGACTGGGGATTTTACAGGCTCACTATTCTCAAGACTATATCTAGATCAGTGGTTCCCAACTGGTGGATCGCAGTCCAAAAGTGGGTCTGAGGTCCTTTCTAAATGGACCGCAAGGGACTCATGAATTATTTCCGATCCTGCTCCTAGTGGAAAAACATTACGCCAAACTCCCTTTATGAAACATGACTCATTAATAGTTTCTAAGGGTGCTTACAGACTTAGAGTTGTCTTGCTTTGGTCTGAATCAGGGACTAATTTTGTCACAAAGTTGCATAATTGTCTAGAGTTGGTTCGTGTTCTCACAGCAGCATGTTCAAGCGGACCAGATCAAATACCTTGTGTGAGAAAGGCGCTCTTGATTGGTCAGAATTTCCATGTGGGAAAAATCCAAGAAGTAAACAAAACGTTGAAGAAGAGTACACTTGCAAGATAAATGTGACACTTTCTAATGTCACAATGGAGGGACAACTACGCAGGTTGATTTTAGCGCTGCTCATCGTGGACTATATTGCTGTCATTGTTCATTTTAGTCAAACCATACAGTTTGAAAACAAGGCACGGCTCCAACTAGAAAACAATGTTTTGATGCATTGGATGTGCTGAATGTGCATATTAAGGCAGTACAGGAGGAGGTGCACATTAATAATCCTCCAGGACTGTAACATGCTCATGTTGAACCCAAACAATGTGTCATGTGACTGCAGTTGGTTCGGATCGAGGTCGGAACACGTTCTCACCACAAACGAACCGCACCAGAGTTAGTTTACAACCGGACTGAGACCACCTCTTCAAGAAGGTTGCACCCGAATGTGTTCACACCTGCCAAAACGAACCTCACTTAGGGGGCAAACAAACTCGAGCTAGATCGAACCAAACCAAACAGGGCAGGGGTGAAAGTACCCTTACTTGTCCGCAAAAAAGATAGAAGGCATCAAGTATTGCCAGTATTCTTCTCAATTCAGAATCAATATAATCTATAAAGACAAACTGTATTTTGATTGCAAACATGACATTTTGAATTTTGGCATCTCAACTCGCAGCCAGGCCTCTGTTGGTTGGCTGCACTATTTTAGTGGGAGAAGGCCAGTGGAATAAGAGGCAAACTGTTTAAAAAACTAAGACTCCTCACTAAAAAAAGTTCTGGTTGGTGGATCAGATAAACGTCAGATTAAACACAAACTCTTAGTCACTCCACAAGCCCACCAGCGTTTTCCTTATCTTTGACAGTACAAGAGAACCAAGACTTGTTCACGTTCTTGCATCTCCCCTGAGTCCCCTCCATCTTTACTATATACCCTTGTTGTTGCCGTTTGAAGTTGGAGAGAGGGTGCACCTGTTAGTTGTTGATAATATTCACATTATTGAACTTCACTGTTTGCATGGGCCAGGACTAAAAACTTATTAGAATATCAAACACATTTGATTTCATCAGAACGAGACGAGAAAAAGACCAATATAAGGCAGCTCGTACTGACTTTTATGACCACCTGAAACCAAACGATTGAGATCACCGGCGTGCTCCAAACCTGAGGTAAAACTCATTATTTTATTATGATATATGAAATTAGTCTGCATGTTTAATTGCTTGAAAAATCATTTGGTGTAAGGTTGTTATAAGAAACAAAAAATGACCTCCAGTTAGCTAAGTGACACACTGGAACGCCTTCATGAAATATTAACACCACTGACAAAGAGCTATTAATTACCTCAAGTGGTGTGTTTTAGCGTTATACATTATACAGAAAGTTCTTTAAAAATCACTTGGTTCTTCTGGACTACCTGTGAGACTATGTGAGGATCAAGGAAACAGGAAGATTTTGGAAAACAGACACAAGCAGGTACAACTCACCTTCTCCGCCAAATGGGAGGTCAGGTTTCCATAAACCTTGGAGAGAGCTGTTGGTCCCCTGCAGGAGATCACCTGTGGAAATAAAACATGAGAAGTTGGGGTCAGCCCTTTTGAGCATCGAGTAACAGTAAGTTTAAGTGCTGCTAAACTGCTCCGACTAATGGGAATGGAAATCAGCCCAACACATTTGAGACAAAGTGTCAAAACAGCAATTATATTAACAGAGGTGAAGATATTAAGAGGTTAGTTGAGTTTCCTTTTGAACTGTCACAATCAAGCGGAGATGAATAAACTCTGACACTGTGGGAGGGAAAAGATTTAATAATACCAGCGTCCTCTGTGACTCAAGAGTTGTGCACTAATAAACCAGCTGTTGTACATAATTCAAAGTTGGCAGAATTGTAAACCAGTTAAAATGAGAAAGTTGTGAAGTTAGCTGTTCAAACACGTACTGTGTGGTCTGCATGGATAAAAAGGATGATTATTTTGGTGTGAATTCTGTAATGATTCTATTAACAATATGCATCAGCAGACAATGTATCACACTAGGGTTGCATGACAATACTGGCACGTCATCGGTATCAGCCAATATCGGCTTTAAAATGATTAATCAGAATCACCCTACATGCTTTTCCCAACCCGGTCTCACTCCGAAGTCGTTAACAAAAAACCAAAGATTAAAGCCGTTCTTTGACGTCGAATGATACATGACAGGGTGCTGTGATAGGGGCTGTACACACCCTCAAACTCATTGTTTTCAATACAGACATGCGGCAGGTGCGCTCAACTGCCTGAGCAACACTGTCACTGCACACGTTTTTCCTGAACCTAACCAGGTGTTCTCATTGTTGAAGGAAAAAAAACATCTATTCGTGGTGTTGTACTGACGTGGTGCCTTTATTTTGAAAGAGACCGTACGTAAACTTTAAATTTCCCATGACAAAGGAAGCGTATTTTGAAAGAAGATAATGCATGTAACAGGCAGAACGACACGGTGTCCCAGAACCTCAACAACCAACGCACTCGGGTACCTTGCACGTCATATCTGGACGTGAAAAGTCCATGACCAAACATCAATATGTGACAAGGTTGGAGTGAGAGTGTGTTGGCTTTTTCTTAATTTGCACAATAAATGAATATTACATACATTGAAAAGCATTTTATTTCATGTCTCCATCTGCTGGTGGGCCATCATGATGAGAGTATGCGTGCATTATATGATGTTCATTTCACTACAGGAGAAACTTAATGATCACTAAAATTAGGTGGGGAAAAAGTGGATATATCAATATGGGTATTAGCCAAATAAATTGTGAGCAAATTGAGCAAATTATGTCATGCATATGTAATATCAGCATTCAGTTAAAAAATGTAACCTTTTCACTGTCACAAGCACGTACTATATTTTAACGCTATGCATAAAGAGCACAAAATTCAACACATAATTCTCATTATGGCTGTAGGAACAACTTTTATGATTCTTTTAGCCTGAATGCAATCGCCAGAAGTTAAATTCTAATGTTAGTCTATATACAAACTACCCCACGGTTACATGTATTCAACGTGACCACAACGAGGCTGTGAAGCTGCGTTCAGTGTGATGAAGTTCTGTGGTCTCATTTAGCCACTTAGCAATCGCCTTATTTAACACACGTAAAAGGATTCAGTCCTGCACCGCTCTATCCCCAGCAGTTTGAAGGTGTCTCTTCATGATCTGGGAAACTGCTCTTCACATTTAAATCCAATCAGTAGTCGTCAAATGAATCAGTAACAAAACAAACTCTAGCTGCAGTTCCAGCTTCAACATCATGCTCATGTTTCATCACACGGCCATCTTGTCTGGTCTTTCCTACGTGGGCATTCAGTGAAGAATGTTGATGAGTGAATGATGATTTAGATTCAGCTTGATCTGTCTTTGAAAGTGACTGACACGAGTTATTCTCTTTTCTGCATTTGTCTTTGCACAAGTCCCCCATGTGCAGGGTGTACATCAGCTCTGCGTGTGTGTGTGTGTGTGTGTGTGTGTGTGGGAATATGCTCCTGCTGCACCTTATGACCAGCATAAGCAGTTTCGATAACAGATGGATGGACTGAATTTCAGGCAAAAACCGGTGATGAAGCAGCCCACCCATCGAATCAAGCAACCTGAGATGTGGGCACCATGAACGACCACATCCAACACACTCTGGCACTAATTCATGTCAAAATGCTGAGTCATGGTCACTTTGTGTCACTGGTGTTTTTCCTCTGACTGTTCAGTCTGAAAGATACAGAGATCAGCAGTCTCCTCATGAAGAAATCATCATCTACTTCACTGCTGGCTGCAGTTTCTGATAGAGGTGAGACACCTACTTGATTAGACACCAGAAAATTACCCCATACATCAAAATATATCAGGTTTTTTGGCTCTTTAAGAAAAACTGTCAGTCTGGTTTTAGTCTCTTATATGTGAACATCTGTTTATTTTTTCCATCATGTACAATAACCAGGGGTCAAAAGTAACAGTTGCCAGGCTGCCAATGGAAACCACATTTTTTAACATTAACAACAGGCTTTAAGTTACACATAATTAAGGAAGATCCGCTTTGAGTGACAGGCTGTCCGTGAGGTGTTTCCACAGTCTATGAGTCAGATTGACCCCTCTCTCCTCCACAGCTCCTCCCCTTTCGTCTAAATATGGTTGCTTCTGCCTCCAAAAAACCAAGATGACGATGCCTGAAATGCCAAATTCGAGGCTTCAAATCGGGAGTCCACAAACAAATACGTGACGTCACGGTAGCTACATCCATTTTTTAAACAATCTATGGTTTACTCCTGTGAGCACAAGCATCTGTTCTTAGAGAGAGTGGTGAAGCAAATGTAGTTGTTTAACTGTGGGGTGAAACATTTAACTAACCCGTCAACATATGACACGAAGGTGCGAAGTGATTCAAGTGACAAAGAACCAGATGAACATAAACGAATGAAAAGGAAATCTGTAAATCTTGAGAGGCATCCTGGCATCTTTAAGCTGGACAGAAAACTACACTGCAAAGCATGAACAACGTAAACCTCACTAAGTGGACAAGCGGCAACCTCAGGAGCTGAAAAATGAAGCCAAAGCCGAAGTGCCGTTCTTTTAATGGCCACTTTTGGCTTGCTCCAGAAGTGAGTCAATTCCCTTTGACCTTCATGTTAAAATGCCCAACTTTACAGCCGAAATAAACAGACGACCTGAGATGTCACCACAGCCTATGAGTCAGATCCACCCCTCTCTTCTTATATAAGGTCACTTCTCGTTTAAAAATCCAAGATGGCAACAGCTAAAAGACTCAAGGCTTCAAAACAGGAGTCCACAAACCAATGGGTGACGTCATAGTGGCTATGTCCACTATTTTTACAGTCTATCAAAGTTATGCATCAAGTTCATTAAGTTCGTATAACTGCATATGTATCTTAATAATTCAACGTTTCTATTGAAACAATTTTTGTGACGCAGACATGTCAGTTACAACAGCATAATAAAATAATAAAATAAATGAAAAATAATTAGAGCCAGTGAAACAGAACTGCTTGGGTAAACACATTTTTACAGCCTTAAGGATTAGTGTATCTATTGATTGTTATTCTAGTCCAGTGTCGTCTTTTTGAGTCTTGTATAGAGTCTATTTCACCCATTGTCTTTCTAGCTGTGCTTTTTGTTGTCTTAGTATGTGTGTCAATTTCTCCATTAAAAAGATTTCTTCCACTATTGTTAGCCACTGGTCCTTCGTTGGTGGTGTTTCTTTATCCCAGTGCCTTGTGACATCTTTCTTGCTTTATATCTATCACTAGCAAGGCAACTATATTTTGAAATTCAGTAACTAAAAGCTGATGCCTTGTTGCCAACCTGGCAACCACTTTTAAAAGTTAGTGTTGAGCCCTGCTAACACAATATAAGCAAATTTGACTCTTTATGGACCAAACAATGAAACAGTTAAATAATTTTCTGGTTTCTGATCAAGAATTTCAGTCCCAGAAAATCGTCTTCACATACCATGATGACCTGCTTCACTCTCCAGGCCAGAAGGCAACATTATACCATCTGACACCCTCTAGTGTTCACAGCAATGACCTGGAACTGCCGAATTCACAGGTACACGCAACTGTCAACAAACAAAGCATCAACAAAACCCCACTGATGTTCAACCACACAAGTATCGATCCAAACTATAGCACATTCATCCCCCTTGACTGGAGCGCTGGGGCTCCATTTTGAATGGCCCAAAAAGATCATGACACACACTGAGTCAGTGCTCTGCCTCAGGTTGAGCCACAGCTACATGATGAGGAGGCAGACACTGACATGTTGGTGTAGCAGGAACCTCATTCATACTGTTCTACAAGAGAAACATTATCTGCTGGTTTGCCCCTACTTAGAGTTGAAATTAACATCTCATCCTTTTGATAGTATTTCACAAAATAGCTAGAATATTAAAAGCGTCTTACTTCTGTTTATCTCTGTAGCATTTAGCGTAAAATCAAACAGATTCTCCAACAGAAAAATTCTTTTAGTGGTGTGAAAGGCGCCGTGGCTGCTTTTGATCACCTCCAATGTCATAAATCTTCCACCAAGGATAGAGCCCTCGCCTGCTTGCATTCTCCTGTGCACTCAGAGAAATGAGACACTCCAGCTGCCCTTCAGACTCTCTGTTCTTACATTGCCTCTTTTTTCACACCTTGTCAGACACCACTATCGCCCCTTTTCAAGGAGGAACACCAGCCTTTAACCCTTTCATCAACACAACACATGAAAAACACGCCCCGCTATTTCACACATTGTCCTCTCTGCCTCACACATGGCGTCTCAGGACCACCCACAAACACCAAGGACTGACAATGTAACACGGCAACACAAAGGTCACCGACATGAGGAAACACCTCAGACCTGCCATGTGAGATATACGGAGAGAGATGCAGCAAGAATCAGATGTAAGGGAAACCTATTTTGGATTAAACGTGGATTTAAAATCTAGAAAGTGATTTGCACGTATCAGTATTCTGCACCAGCTTCTCTTTTAGCCCTCACATTGTCTTAATGCGTTGTAATGAAACATAAGAGAAGAGATGAAGAGAAGGGAAATTTAAGCTGTAAAAGAAAATTACTGTTATGTGTGAAGAAAAAATAATTATGGTTTTAACTGGCATGAAACAACCCTCACTTGTGAGAAGTACAGCACCTATTTTAGCTATGTGACACTAAACAGAACAAACAAACAAATGACAATAGCTTGAACTGCAGTGCCTCCCACAAATCCCACGCTCCTGTTAATCCTTTGTCAGTTATTATGGACACGGCCAAAAAGAAACCAAAGTGAAGTCGGATTAAAAACTACCTAAAACCATTTAGCAAAACTGCCCCAAACTATTACATTTCCACTCCCTGGCTTCAGCCTGCTCTGCACGATCACTGCGCCACCTTTAATAGATTACATTAATGTCACAACTACTGTTTTCTATTAAAGGTTAAAGATAACCACAGATCAAGCCAGCGGTTTCCTGAGAGCAAATCGTAATTAAATTCTGACAACAAGCCTCCTGAGCAGGAAGATGCTGCCTCGCTGTAATCGAAAACAAAAACAAGTCAAGCGTGGCGACACAAAATGAACGGCACACGGCAGACACAACGAGAGAGCACTACATGAAGTTAGAGAGGACACACTTGTGGCTTTAGAAAATAAATTAACAGCTCTATGTCTGTCAAGGACACAGCCGAGCAGTGGAGACACACAGACACAAACAACTGTGTATAAATAGAGAAATACAGTTGGTTACAGGGCATGTGAGGCTTACCAGCTGAATATTTGATAGTTTGAGTTTCAGTATTGATACCAAAACATTTTCCAATACCTCCTTTGAAAGCTGGAGATATATTTTTCAACATATTTTCTAAAAAGACGGCAACTTCTGACATCTTGAATAAACTCAAGCAGCTGTTCAGTGCCTTTACCCAAATAAAACTGTATAAAATTGGCTTCTTTTTTGAAACTATCTGATCAAAAAATAAGTAAACACGATCATAAATGTGCCCAGACATCAATGCAAGCTTTTGGTAACTGACATATTTCGGTCTGTACCAAACAGGTGCTGACGTCCGATACTTGGCTTTACCTACTAGGCCCAAATGTAGGCCTAAAAAGGCCGCTACAGATCAGTGGCTCCCAACCTGTGGGGAAATCTGAAGGGCCACGTGATGATTAAAGGGATAATAAAGATAATAAAACATGTTGCACAAAATTATGCTCAATTTTCTCTGACTTTCCGTTTTGTTTTTTTTGCTGTTACTCCTCATGTGAAATACTAAATATTTTTTATTTCTTCAGGTGGTAAATAAGAACCCTTCAAAAGAAAACACAGAGACCAAAACTTGTGTGATTTGTGGTCACAACCACATATTGCTTCATTTTAAGAGGTCAAAAGCCATAAATACGGTGGCCCTGAGGGTCAAAACACGATGACATTTCAAAAAACACGATAACATTTCAGAAAAATCCACATTTCCAAAACACAACATTTAAAAAATGCAATATTGTAGTGTTTTGTGAAATGATGTTTGGTTTTGTGAAATGTTATGTCTTCTGTTATGTTGTCATTTGACCCTCAAGGCACCGTAGGGCTGGGCGGTATGTCCTGAAAATTATTTCACAATATTTTTAGGCTATATCTCGATATATTTCAATGTCCTCAAAAGCACTTCCTTAACGCTAGGACTGGGGGACAAAATCAAACATAACAATATTTCTGACCATTTTTTTCCCAAGAAAATATTCAACACAATGAGATTTTAGATGAGGGGTGTCAAAAACTGGCCCACCAAAGGGTCCAATCCAGCCCATTAGATGACTGGACTAAGAGGTGCCATGTTTCAGGAGCAAGTTCAAAAATATGTTGCCTACTTCATTGTAAAGTTCTGCTTCAGAGGCTTTTCCACCCTGACCGGGATACAGTTCACTGATACAACAATGAATATTGACTGTGACTGTGTATAAACATATTGAACACTGTCAATCAGCAGCTTCAGTTCAAAAGAATCTGTATTATACTGTATCAGGAAATGTGTGGATAAATGCACATGTGATGACAGTGAAAATGTGGAAAAACTGACACACTGTTGTAACTGCACTTAATTTTCTTAAGACATCTCAGTTCATCTGTTTTGTAAAAGGATGAACGTCTACAGAATGTACTTGTAATTCTTTACATGAAAAAGAGAAAATATTGGAGCTGATGGTACCATCTGAGATCAAATTGGGCTGTATGTATGGCCACTGAACTAAAAATGAGTTTGACACCTCTGTTTTAGATTAATAATCATCAACAATGTGGATATAATGAGTAAGTGGGTTAAGGCAAGCATTAAAACAAATAAAAAGTTTGGTACGTTGATAAATTTACATCACTTTACTATATTTTTAGTCTTTAAAACACCATTTATGCCATTATTTTACATTTTCTCTGACTTTCCTATTTTTTTGCCATTATTCCTCAGGTGATTTACTAAATATTTTTTAACTCTTCAGGTGGTAAGAACCCTTCAAAAGAAAACACAAAGGCCGTAACTTTTGTGTGATTTGTGGACACAACCACATATTGCTTTGTTTTAAGAGGTCAAAAGCCATAAATACGGTGGCCCTGAAGGTCAAAACACAATGACATTTTAGAAAACACAACATGTCACAAAACATGCAACATTGTAGTGTTTTGTGAACGTCATTTTGTTTAGTGAAATGTAGCTGTTTTCTAAAATGTGGTTGTGTTTTCTGATATGTCGTGTTTTGACCCTCAAGGCCACTGTACATACAGGCTGGGTACCACTGCTACAGACAGACAGACAGATGTGTCAAATATTCTGCCTTTACACAAAGGCCATAACTTGTGTGTGATTTGTGGTAACAACCACATATTGCTTCATTTAAGGAGCCATTTTAAAAGCCATAAATACGGTGGCCCTGAGGGTCAAAACACATTGACATTGTGGACAACATTTCACAAAACACGACATTCGAAAAAAATGAAACATTGCAGTATTTTTTTTGTTTTGTTTCAGGAAATGTGGTTGTTTTCAAAAAAGTCTTTCTGTTTTCTGAAACGTTATGCTTTCTGATATGTCATGGTTTGACCCTCAAGGCTGCCGTACATACAGGCTAGGTACCACAGCTACAGACAGACAGACAGACAGACAGACAGACGTGTCAAATATTCTGCCTTTGCACAAATGCCATAACTTGTGTGTGATTTATGATAACAACCACATATTGCTTCATTTTAAGAGGTCACAAGCCATAAATACGGTGGCCTTGAGGGTCAAAACACACTGACATTGCTGAAAACACTACAACATGACATTTGAAAAAAATGTAATATTGCAGTATTTTGTTTTGGGAAATGTGGTTGTTTTCTAAAATGTCCTTGTGTTTTCTGAAACATTGTGTTTTCTGATATGTCATGTTTTGACCCTAAAGGCCACTGTACATACAGGCTGCTACAGACAGACAGACAGACAGACAGACAGATAGATAGAGCTGTCAAATATTCTGCCTTTGCTAAAATCCCAGGCACTTCCTGGTGATGCACTGCTTTTAACTCGTCTCCACCGTGAGGAGTGAGCAGTCTGCTAATAAATAGCAGCTACTCTTTGACTCCTCTGTCCGCAACACAATTGGATTACCCCCCTGACAGTATCATCATCTCTCCTCTGCAGGCTCTCTTTGGGGCACCTTTTGCTGCTGACAGACACGCACTCCAGCAAACAGTGAATTCAGCACCGCGGACAGCTCCAAAACAAGCTGAGGCGGGCACGAGCCACCTGCCACTCATCTGCTACGTCACCATCTCAGGCTACACATACAAAAAACACACAACAGACACGCAATGTCTGTGGATAGTAGCTGTAGCGTCACATGAACCACACACAGCAGCATCACAACACCATCTCCTGCAGCTGAGCGCATGAACGTGGCCGTGAGAGACTTTTAGTCAGCTGTAAGCCTGGATGCATTTCAGCTCGGGAGCAGATTTGATGAATGATTAAAACGACCACATGCACCTAATCCCATGTAGAAAACAGGATGCTCCTCCTCTGCTGGTTTGTCAGAGAGGAGGAAGAGGGGGAAAAAACACACAATGACGCTAGAGATGGCTCCTCACTGTGCTGTGACAACCAATTACATAACGTCAGAGCGGAGTGCTCTCACTCATTAACATTCGCGTCCATTTCACCGAGAAATCCTCACACAGAGAACAGGGCGATTCCTGAGTCCTAGCGTGTATTTGCACCCATTAAACCAAACCAGAAACATAAAGCACAGCTGATTACGACATATTTAATCGACGCAGTTCACGCTCCTGGTCTTGTTTACCCATTTGACGCATGGAGAGGAACATAAAATGGCAATCCTTCCCCAGCCTTGACCACCATCTCCTTCTACTACACGGCTTTGATATCATACAGACATGCTCATCCTTCTGTAGAGCATATCAGGAGCAGATAAACAAGCAGCACTGCTATTTCACTTTGAGGTCAAATTTTCTCATTGGCCAAATCGAAGGGCAAAACAAAAAGCTGCATAGTAAAAGCACCCTGCATCATCTTATGTCAAAGGCTGCATAAACCGAACCGAACGACTCATGAATGTAGCTCAGCTGGCGAGCAAAGCATGCAATAGTAATCCAAGATGATGCAAGACGGTCCTTGTCACCCTTGGCGTATGCACACCATTTAAAATGACGCATGCATAATTCACAATTGCCACAGCAGCTATAGCATTGCAAATAAATCTGCAGTACTTGTTTGGTATCGCAGCAGAGACGAGATGAGGCATTATCCAAACGATGGGAAATGATGCGAGATTCCTTTATCCCCGCGTCGCCCTTTGCTAAAAGGATGCTCAGCTTCTCTTCTTGTGCAGCAATGTGGCATCGACACGGAGCGCGCACACACACACTCACACACTCACACACACTGAGTGACTGACTTACCAGAGATGCTGCTGCTGCCGCTGAGGTGCACTACTACCTGACAGCCTGTGCTGCAATTTATTCAGTATTTCCCCTTGCAGTGACAGAAGGTGACCCTGCGTTCTCTCTGCAAGACTCTGCATCCACTAGATCACGATGCACGCAGCAAGGGGGAGCTCCACGGCACAGGCGCGCGTCGGGGGGATGGCCCAGCGATTTCCTTTTCAATGGACGACAGAAATAGGCTGCAGAGGGAAAGCGAGTGCAGCGAATGCAACTCGGACAAGAAGGTGTTCAAATTGCCCTCCCAACATTCACATGAGCTTAAGGGAGCTTAGAGAGGTGTCAACACATCTGCAGGTGCAGGTGAGCTTCAGTTTTATGTGAATCACATTTGAGTTTAAGAGAAATATTTATTCATTACAGATAAATTCAATTTCTAAAATACCATGGCTGTTTGAATGATGGGGAGAGCCCCGAATGTGACTTCCACTTCCCAGCCAATAAGGAGAGCAGATGGCAGGAGGAGGCGTCGCCCCCTTTCTTGTCAATCACGCCCACATTGCACATCACTGCAGGGGGAGGGAGGCTGAGTGTTTTTGTCCTTTAGCTGTCTTAACAGGCCTGCTGAATCTCCATCCTCTGTCCTCAAAGACATAAAGGAAGGTCTGTTCACCTGCTGGTTTACACAGCTGTGCAGAGATCTTCTGTCTGCACCAGAGTGCTCCCTCAGTGACAGAGTTGCATATACTCAAAGGGCCAGAACCACTGTTAACTGAGTGGTGACTAAGCAAGCCCTAAGATAATAGCTGACACCTTAATGAGACGTGAGGTCAAAGAGGAGGATGGAAAGCTCTGGATTTTATCACTTTTTTTGGATGATTGATTGATAGTTGGGAGACGCAGGGTCAGATTTGCTGAGCTTGTTAGCGTGCTAAAACACATGATAAATGGTGTTAGCTTGGTTCATCAATGTGAGAATCAAAAAAAAATCACAAAATGGTGTTTATGAATCTGCAAAGCTTTTTAATCCTTTGTCTAATTGTTGCATCACAGTCCTCTTTTTATAACGTAAATAAAATCTAATTTTGAGCCCACAAATTCCTTCAGGCAGGGTTGTTTCAGTAGCCTACTGAAGGCATAAATATCTTGGTATTCATTTTCTTAAACAGATGAATTATTGAAAAGAAAAAAAAAATCATTAGATACAGAAAGGTGGTCACCGTTACGTTTATCACTGTGGGGGAAAGTCAATGTCCTGACGATGAACTGTATTCCAAAGCTGAATCATTAGCTTCAGTGTCATCCTCTTGCTTTAAAAGGTTCGACTATAGTTGCAAAATGTTCTTGTGGAGCGGTAAACGTCAGCGGATAAAGTTAGAAAAGCTTCAAATGCCAACCAGAAAGATGGGCATGGGTCTCCCTAAATTAATATTGTGCCATTATACCGTTTGTCTGAGACATATTGATCGGTTTGAAAGTGCTTCCTGACTTCACCCCCAGCACTGCTAAGATGCTTCTCCCCTATGAGCCAGGTCGCAGCCTCAGATCCTCAGACAGGGCTCTGTTGGCTGTTCCTCAGTCCCGGCTCTAAACTAAAGGTGACCGGGTGTTTGCAGTCAAGGCAATTTAAATAAATTGATTTAAGTGAATGAAAGAAACAAGATGTTGACAGAAAGAGTAACGATGCTGATAGAATAGTTGAATAGAACAGAGTTGAAGAGCTGTTAATAGAACCAGTCAGCTCATACACTCTGTATCTCCACGTCAACCCAAACCTTCACCTCCCCTGCACTACAGTCCCCTACATAACTCTCTAACTTACACCAAATGAAGACGTATAGATATTAAATATACACAGAATAACTTATCTCCAGTTTAGATGAGGATACATCCATAGGAGCAGTGTGGTACAAACTGTAAGTGGACCCCAAACACAGGTACAATACATCCTCTTAGAAAGTGTTTTATTAAAAAAATTGACCCCAAAAACTTAAGAAAAGACACCAAATATGCTGGATAGGTGCACATAGACCCTCCAATATTAACATTTCACCCAGACTATGTTACTGTAGAACGCTGAAAGTTTGCTTTTGACCTTGAAAAAAATAAAGTTCCACTATTCCTCCTCAGCTGGGCCCATTTTTGAGTTAGACTGACTGGACTAAACTGTCTCAAGTGCTGCAGTTCTGAAGAGACGCTTCTTCACCTACTCTGGGAATGTCCCATGATTCAGATCTATTGAATTGAGGTTCATGAACATATGAAAAAAACATTAAGCGGACTACGCATCTGCCCAAGGTTGTATGTTCCCAGTGACCCACAAATGACATCTCACTGTGGAGCCAGAGACTTTATTTAGACCAGTATAACAGTGGAAAAACAAAGTATAATGATCGTATTACTTATGCATTGTTATGAATACACTTTTATATTATCTAGTTATTGTATTTTTTTCCGTCTTGTGTTTGTACATATATTTGCTTTATCAACACTTGGTGACAAAGTTTATGTTAGAAAAAAGCAAAAAGTTCAATAAAACATAAATAACATCTAATTTTGAGCAAAACATTAATCATGCCGATTTATTTTTTCTCTCTATTGGCTCAAAACATCCTGTAAAGACATGACAACATGTTTCTGAGGTCATCTTTAACCACCAGACACTCATAGTGCAGCTCTTTCCATTTTACTCTTCCCTTTTTAGTGCACTCTGTATTAATGGACAAACCACGAGACACAACATCTGCCCTCACTCTTTATGGATTCACGTGATGATAACCCTTTTAAAGTTTCATCTGCCTGTAGCCTGACAGAGTGCTAATTATCTAGTTTCCTACAAAGAGACATGAAATAAAAAACAGTGAAGTCAGGCATCAGCAAACATCTCTGTTAAATCAGGGGAGAGAATATTCTTGTTTTTTGTGGCGCTGGTTCTTTCAACTCTGAGCGGAGCAAAGCGCCCTGCCAAAGCCACTCAACATCTCACACAAACAGGGTGAAGAGAGGAGGTGTTTGTTTCGGGGAGATGTGGCTGCTGGAGGAGCAAATGTCTCAAAGAAGATTAGCTGGATGTTTCGGTCTGACTCTGAGGGGTGATAACTTTATGCTAATGGTATAATGATACACACTGTTCACTTGATCACTGCAGTTACACACCACTGCACAACTGCTCATTATCAAAGCATAAATGTTTTGATGCACACATGCATTATCTCTTTCTCTACATGTGTAAATGCAGGCCTGACCTCCACCCCAAACCTACACAAAACGGTACATATAATATATTCATATGCAAATGATCTATATTAGACCCTTAACACTAACAGCTTTGAGGAAATCTGAGTTTTTCCCCTTCCTGACTGCTTTGATAAAACAATGTGACCTCTAAATATAACGCTGTCTTCTTCTCTCTGCTGCAGTAATACTGTACACTGCAGGGTTACTATAGTTTAAAAAAATAAACAAAACACTAAAACTAGGTGTGAAAAAATATTTAAATTACCTGAAATAAAAATAAAAACTAGTCTTTAGAAAAAAAAATTCAAATGGTGCAGTGTACATACAAAATATAGAATAAAATAAAAAAAATAATAAAATAAAATGAAACAAAACAAATTAAACTACATTAAAATAAAATAAATCAAAATAAAATGAAACAAAATATAATAAATAAATCAAAATGCAGTAGTCTTTGTCAATTTGGTCAAATCTGTCAAAACAACAAGCTCAAGGAGTCATTGATGCAAATGTTTATTAAGACTGTGATATGACTTTGAGTTTGTTCAGTAAAACCTATAAAATCTTGGCCCTGACAAATATACCCTCTACTATAATAAAAATAAATAAAACTAATGCTTAAGTGATAAAACCTGAACTAAAACTAAAGATTTAAAAACAATAAAAACATAACTTTTTTTTTGGCGGGAGTTTTTCCTTATCCGCTGTGAGGACAGAGAGACGTCGTATGCTGTAAAGTCCTCCGAGGCAAATTGTGATTTGTGATATTGGGCTTTATTTTATTTTATTTTATTTTATTTTTTATCTGTTTTACTTTTAACCAGGAAATCCCAAATAGACTGAAAATCTCTTTAACAAGAGAGACCTGGCCAAGGTAGCAGCCAATAAAAACACATTAAAATGCAACAAATACAGCATATAATACAAAACTCCACAATAAAACAACTAATATTTATAAATAAAATGAAAAATTATAACTAAAAAATTGAATTAACTGAAATGAGCAAATGCCGCTGTAGAAACTCACTGAAACTAAACTGAATTGAAAACCAAAATTAAGAATGAAATAAAACTAAAAACTACAAGAAAATGCAAAACTATAAAAATGCTGACACACTGCTGAGGGAAATTTAACCTCTTTATAAGATGTTTCTGTGCCAGTCACACTCTTTTTGAAGTTCCAGTTTTAGTAAAAATGAAACATTCTGAGAAAAGAGCCAAAGGCAGCCATCATTTTGGGATCCATTGTGTCTGGTCTGTGGTTTATTTATATCTATTCAGCGGGCAAATAATAATAACAGTTTACCTTACAGCACACTGACTGAATATATACCTCTGTTTTAAGTAAAAACATACATTTATATGGCCATTGGAAATGATAAATTCGCTCAACTCTTCTTGTCAACTCAGAGGTGTTTAGTGACATCTAGTGGCAACAGACTGACAGTGAAAAATCTCCTGTAAACAGTAAAGACACCATGACATGCATTTATTTTTCTTATTTTAAATGTGGCATACTATATATACAAGCATTCAACCCATTGAAAACATTTTTATTGAGTCCAATCTATTGTTGTTTGTTGTCTTGACTAACAATGACCGTTTACCTATCATAGGATTATTTCTCAATAATCTACAATAATGAGTTTGAAGCACATCCAACCATCACATTTTTGGTTAATCTTTTACTATATTACTATTCTTTATTATGTATTCCCTTTTGCACATGTTATGTACTTATATTATGTTCTTAGAGAGATAATTTAAGGGCCTTTCTTGTGAAATGGGTTTGCTGGTAAACACCCTTGAAATGTAAGATGTGTAAAAATGGAAGTATTAGTCTTTATAAATATTAAATGTTTGGAGACAAAAAAACAGTAGTTCTAATGAAATCACTGGGACTGTTGAGGCACAGAACATATAAAACATTACAGACAATGTTCTCCTAACATTAAAGAGGTTACATTAAATGTTCTGCCCATACAAACTGGACAAGAAACAAGCTCCGGCCACAACTTGTGAACTGAACAAATCGCTCACAACCCAAGGAATTCAACTGGAAACAATGATCGAACAACGTAGGACCTCTGTAGCTGATACAGGGAGAGACATTATTCAGTTTTTCTTTTCTTTTTTTTTTTTTGAAGTGTCTCACATCAAGTAAATCTGTAACTTACAACTAAGAGTGAAAAGTTCTCCTCTTGAATTATTTGAAATCAATAATTTGTTAACTAGTAGTTAATTTACATCTTTTTTTTTCATGACGCTGCATGAAAACAAAAGCATGGAGGCTGCTGCTAAACGGAGCACATGTGTTGAGCTCTTAAAGGAAATGCTTCAGATGGAACCCTAGTCCAGGATTAGGCTACCCCCAAAAAATCCTGTAGGATCCATTCATTACGAGGAGCTACCTCAGCCCCAGCTCTCAGTGTCTGTATATTAGGCTTTATTCTTGGCACATGGGTTATCAGAAACAGTTGATTATAATGTGCAATTTGAACATGATCATAAAAGTGTAAATTTATCTTTGGGTAGCAATGAAACTGCAGCTGCTGAAACCAGCAATAGCCAAGAAATTAACAACAAAGACACTGCAAAGAAAAAGGCTCATGGCAGGTAGGTGATGACTCATATTTTCATTTGGACTATGTGGCACAAAGGACAGACTTGTACTATTAGTTGGAAACTTCTGAGACTTCTAGCTCTGCTTATTGTATCTGCACAGCATTTGTTAAGTGCATGTGTCTTTGCTTACCTGTGAAACCTCTCGTACATGTGAACCCTCCCGTAGACGTGCCAGAAAGGTGGCACCAGGTGTCCTTGTTCTGCCAGCTGAACGAACGAACCCCTTAAATGAGGGTGAAAAAGAAGAGATACGTGGAGTTAGACAACAAAAAAATAGTGATAATGCTTATACCTAATGAGCACAAATAACATTTGATGGACATACAAATTTGACCAATTTTAGCAACAGTAATAAGCTAAGATGCTGTTAATTACAAAGTACTCGTCGACATTGGGACTTTATTGTCATCTTGTTTGAAGACACTGGGACTGTATTATCGTTGACAATGTGCAGTTTTTTCTACTTTTCAGATCAAACTAATCCAGAGTAACTAGAAGAGAGTAAAAATGTACACCAAACAAAAGTTTGGGTCTCAGGAGGATGAGCAAATGTTTATTTACAAGTTCAAAAAAAAAGTTCAAAAAAATTGTTTCTGTTGACCCCAAGTGGCATAAAAAATGGCTGGAGCCTATCAAGACGCAGGGTACACCCTGGACAGGTCGCCAGACTATCACAAGGCTGACACATAGAGACAGACAACCATTCACACTCACACCTACGGTCAATTTAGAGTCACCAATTAACCTGCATGTCTTTGGACTGTGGGAGCAACCTGGAGTACCCAGAGAAGACGCGCGTTGACACGAGGAGAACACAGAACCCCAGGTTCAAACCAGGAACCCTCTTGCTGTGAGGCACTGCTGCCTACTTTTTTTTTTTTTTTTAAAGATATGTTTTGGGGCATTTTTGCCTTTAATGGACAGGACAGCCAAGTGTGAGGGGGGGAGAGAGAGGGGGGGATGACATGCAGCAAAGGGCCACAGGCCGGACTCGAACCTGGGCCGCCGCGGCAACAGCCCTGCACATGGGGCGCCTGCTCTACCACCAAGCCACCGACGCCCCACTGCTGCCTACTTTTACTTGTGATACGTCAAATAAAGTTGGTCTATAGTACTTCTGTTCTTTTACTTATGTAAACCTCAAGTATTTAGATATGGGACTTTTACTAGTAATGGAATATTTTTACATTGTGATGATGCTACTTTTACATACGTAGACCACACTTAACTCTCTAGAAGCTCTCGTTTCTCTGTTTTTTTATATACTGGGTCTGCTCGTGGACCCTCAAATGACATCACCTAGAAACCTGTCTATTACTGCTTTAAAATGTGTATGGGGGCCATAAAACACACACCCTTGCCCTCAAAAACATAATGTCAGTGTTGCTCTTTGACTGCTCTTTTGATTTATATGGACCAACAACGACTCTGTTTGTGTGTGTTTGTGTAGTCCCCAGGCTGTGCAGAGCAAGCTGACCAACATTTTCAAGGCTGAAGATGACAGAGATGCTGTCACTGACTCTGATTTAAGATCACTGTCTGTTATGTAAGACACCGATAGTGCCATCACTCCATCAAGTCCTCCAAAGTGCCATGTTAGAGATCCCAACTGGTCCCAAGGTCGACAATGGGTGAAGTATTCTGTGAGGGATTTGCAGTGAAACTCCTGCTGTCTGGCTCAGTTCAGCTTCATTAGTTTAAGTTGCACTGAATCAGATTTGGATGTTGGAAACTCCATAAAGTCTTTTGGGAAGTTTTACTGCAAAACCCTCACAGTTATTTCTATGGGCAGCACAGAGACTCAGTCTCTGCTGAAGCCGAACAGCTTGAAGGTCCTAAATTAGAATCTCGGCCCAGGTCCTTCCTGTGAGGAGGGTGCATGTCCTGCCCGTGTCTGCTTGGGTTTTCTCTGTGTCCTCCAGTTTCCTCCCACAGTCCAAAACATGCATTAATAAAACCGATTCCAACTGAGTTATTAATACAGTGCTTTGTTTCTCTTCAGCCTGATTGATTGACTGATCAAATCTCATTCTGGGCAATGCCATGCTGCAGTTTCACCTTCATCCATCCATCCATCCATCCATCCATCCATTTTCAACTGCTAACCAAAAGCCAGGTCACAGGGCAGCAGGCTGTGCCAAGTATTCCAGACGTCCCTCTCCCCAGCAACGCCTTCCAGCTCCTCCTGGGGGACCCCAAGGTGTTCCCAGGCCAGATGAGATATGTAATCTCTCCAGCATGTTCTGGATCTGCCCCGGGTCCTCCTACCAGTGGGACGTGCCCAAAACACCTCCAACAGGAGGCGCCCAGGAGACATCCTGATCAGATGCCCAAACCACCTCAACTAACTCCCTTTAACATGAAGGAGCAGCGGCTCTACTCCGAGCTCCCTCAGGATGTCCGAGCTCCTTACCCTATCTATAAGACTGAGCCCAGCCACCCCACGGAGGAAACTCATTGTGGCTGCTTGTGTCCGTAACCTCATTCTTTCAGTCACTACCCAGAGCTCATGACCATAGGCGAGGGTTGGGACGTAGATGGACCAGTAAATCGAAAGCTTTGCCAACTGGCTCAGCTCCCTCTTCACCACAATGGTCCAGCACAGCGTCTGCAGTGATGCGGACGCTGTGCCCTAAACTGCCAATCCATCTCATTCTACCCTCACTCATGAACAAGACCCCAAGATATTTGAACTCCCTTGCTTGGGACAGTAACTCACTCCCAGCCTGGAGGGGCGAATTTTAGGTCAAATGGACGCTGCAAACAGTTAATAGCATGCCGCTGGTGCAAACTCCAGACTTAAAATACTTTGTCCTACTAATCCACTACTAGTAAGGATCTCAGAACAAAATTCTATGTCTCTCCCTATCTCATACATCCAGCCAATGTTTTCTGGCACGTAATAACCATTGCTACCCACAGGGCTGCTGCCATGGCTACAGATTTTCAGTCTTGTTTGTTGTTTTAAATAAATAGACATATAATGTTCTTTCACAAAATGAATGAAGTATAACTCAAATCATTTTGTGACCCTTCATATTTATCACAAGTTCCCTGATATAAGGGTCACAGACCAGTAGCTTATATTCTAAAATATGTTCCTGCATGCTGAAGGGTTGTTGAGAGTATTTGGCACTGTTGGAAAGACCTCCTGTCTTAGATTCGTTCTTACATAGATGGATGGATGGATGGATGGATGTGGCATGATCAATGATGGTATTTTATAATACTATTAACTTCATAGAGTTCTTCTATTCAGATTTTTCTTCCTGGATGTTGGAGGGCTGTTGAGAAATGCTATGCAAACGTTGGTGATACAGTTGAAAACATTTTTATGCGCTGGTGAATTTTATGATTTCAGTCTATTTTGCTTCCATTGCATGTTTTCTTACCGACTAGCAAGACAACACCCAAAAAAACGACACATTTAGTTGTTTATTTTAGCTCAGATTTCTGTTCTGGAAATGTCACAACAAGTGCATTTAAATTACATCATGCCTCATTTGCACATTTAAACATAAAAGGTCTGAAAATGTATTATATTAAAAAAAAAAAAAAAACTTAAAAAAAAAAGAGTTCGTTTTTACCCTTTTCAGCTGTAGTGTATTATTTCTATTTATTTATTTTTTGTCTAAACATGTATAAACATGCAAAAATTATTTTTTTTCTCATACCCTGAGCCAAAAATCTTCAATTCAGTAGCACCAACACACACCAAACTTCTCAGTTTTATTCCTCTCTATATTCTGAAGGGTTTTTAAAGAGGGGTTTGTTCATGTTTCACTCATAGCCTGACTTATATAACAATTTGTTCTAAAAAACATGGCAAAGTTTGATTTTTTATGGCTGCTAACATTAACCATTAACATTTTTTTTTTCTATTTTATGGAGTTATAAAACCAGATATACAAAGCGCCCTCTCTGTAAAAACCTTTGACTCTACTATGTCAGCAAAATGAAACAAGAACTTGGGAACGGTTGCACAAAATACCTTCACTCGTCTCCTTGTCATGCCTGTTATCTTCTCACAAAGTTGGCTTATAGTTAGTTACTGAAAAAAATGGCAGAGGAAGAGAAGGCAAGAAAACCATATACTTCTGGAGGAATACAATTATAGAAATCACATACTCCAAAGTAATTTTGATCCCCAATAACCAGAAAAAAGAAAACAATTGTAGGAAGAAATTGCAACGAAAATGAATTAATTACAAAAGCGTATCCACTGGGTTCTCCTGGTTGCAGGACACTTCCCAGAGTATGTTAGTTTTTCTCATTTATCACCATAAACTCAGTGAATTTGCAGTTTTGTTTTGTTTTTCACCTTGCTTTGGTTGCAAAGGTCATTTGTGCAACAGTTTAGGGATTCCTTAAATATAATACCAAGAAAAAGAGAAAAACATAAAAACTTAAGTGAACATTTTAGTAGAAGACTTAAGTGTGTTTTGTGCAACTGAATTTATTTTGAGGAAATCTTAACTAGGACTTTACAGAAAATCTTAACTTAAGGTGTTTTGTGCAACTGACCCCTGAACCTGGCTCTATCCAGTGATCAGATTTCTATTTATGGAAATGTAGCCTATGCAAATCAGTGCATATTTAATAAGGTCGTGCCTCCTTAACATACTTAAACATAAACTTTAAGAAAACTTGTAATACAGACAAAAATAGTCTTAATATAAGTTAATAACTGGGAACCTCTCATGATTATATTATATCTGTTAGTTAAAAGTTTTACCCCATTCACCTGTAGTGTCTCCCTTAATGACATTTGTGTCACAGACATGGCATTAACGGTTTTAAATGCTTGTTCAGTGCTGCACAACTTACACATAGTTTCACTTCTACAAGTTGCATTTATCATGGACTGTAAACCGTCATTTATACTTTGATTAGAATTCATCCTTGGCATGTGTTTGTGGTTAACTTCAGTGTTAGTGCTTCTTACCATGTGGTGCAGCTGAAAGTCTCCCTCTGTCCGCAATTTTAACACGTTGTCCCACTGCTTTCATGTTTGGTAATCCCCTCAGAAAGATGCTTGAAATCATGGAGAGCCTGTTTTAGGTCAAGTACCATCTCCTTCGAACAAAACACAAACCGGAAACAAAAACAAACGTCTACTCTAACAAGCTAACGTTAGCCGTTAGCTAAAGTGTTGCCGTTAAATCTTATTATTATTATTATTATTTTTACCAGAATTGTAATTTATAACAATATCCTACAGCTGGTGTGCGCCGAGGTGTTTAAGTTTTTCTTCAGATGGCAGACTTTCAAATGTGTGCTGTAGAAGATAATTATCCTTCACCAAGATGCTAACGTTACACTCTTTACAAGAAATACAATCAGCTTTGCGCATGCGCAGCGTTACTTTTCCCACGCTCGCGGGACTTGACCGTGAGCTGTGGATATCTCTCTCCTCAAAACACAATTTTAAAACAATATTTAGCTAAGATACTGTGCAGAGCCCTCAAACTCCCAGGCCTCTGGTAGAAGGAGAGTTATTCAATGTATTTTGAAAGAAAAAAAACATTGTGTCTCCTTAAAAGTAAAAAAATAGACCCTTAGGGCCCTAGAAAGGGGGTGAAAACCCCCAGGGGCATCCTGCCTCAAAATATTATTTAGTTTGATTATCTAGTACGTAGTCATATACAGTGGTGGACAGTAACAAAGTACATTTATTTAAGTACTCTACTTAAGTACAGGTTTTTTTTAACATCTGTACTTTACTTGAGTATTATTCTTTTGGAAATTATATATATTACTTTGACTCCACAACATTTCTATGTAGGCTCTTGTTACTCATTACATTTGATGTCAGGGGTTCAAGCTGTTTCCATTACCTTCAACTCAAGTGATAATTTGACCCAGCAGCTTTCACTTTTATTGGTGTAATATTTTACCAGGAGTATCTATACTGTGATTCAAGTAATAGAGTTGTGTATTTTTCCACTACTGCTCATATGTGACTTAATATAGTTCATATCTACATATAGTAGTATAGTATTGTAGTTTCAACAGTGTCATTAGCACTGCTAAGCCAACATAATTAGCAAGCTCACTGGAAGAAGACATTCTGAAATAAAAACAATTAGCCTGAAAGAAAGGCTAAAAGGCTTCAAGATTATCCCTTAATGGCTCAGGGTTGGGGTTTTAGTTTATTTAGCTAGATAGCTCGTTTTCAGCTTTACAAGATTTTCATTTTTGTGCTGTAACATCAAAATTGGCCACTATAACCAATTTATTTCTCCCATCCCATCCTGCTAAAATCATATCCATATATATATATATATTTTATTGTACAGTAAATTGACTTTGTTGTTAAGGGGCGCATCTTCCTCCAACTTACTCTGTTGTTTCACATCTACAGTAACTGGTTCCGCTTTGTGTAGTCATGGGGCTTTTATTCTGACAGGTTCAGACCGGAAGTAGATGTGTAGTTGCTGCTAACGGAAAACCGACTGCCTGAGAGATCTGCAAATCACAACATAACGTTGCTCTAAGGAGGCTTTCTACATCTCAGTGAGTGAGATTTAATTTAGATTTATCAGAAACGATAAACAGGTCTGTTGTTGCTCGTTAGAAATCAAAATGGTGTTGATATAAAGGGTTTGTTTTAGATTGTTTGCCGTAAAACAACTTGTCAGTACCTGTGTCATCTGCCGGAGCAGCTAACGGTAACGTTAGCCTTGTTTATAGCTAGTAACGCAGGCTAATAGGTTAATAACTGCTAAGCTAAGTCTATGTGGAGCTTTTAAATAGGAAAGTTCATTGACAGTGGTTGTTATATTGTAGTCTGCTTGCTGCTGTCACGGACATTAGCAAACACCAGGAAACCAAGTGACCGCAGCAAACAGCGGTTTTTACGATAACGTTAACTTGCATGCTAACATGACATTAACTGCATTGAAGCTGATCATTTGAATGCTTAAAGTCTGTCTCAGTTTTGCTACTACGGGGCAAAGATATCCAACTAAGTAACTCATCGTCCTCACTACTTCCCTGATACGCTTATCAACTGTGTGCAAATGTTTCTCATTCCTTGTTCCATCAGATTTCTCGCTGATTAGGAAGGGCAGTGATACCATGTGGGAGTCACATGAACGACGAGAATGAGGCATAAACAACAAGGGGGCAGCTTGAGGAGAGAGCCGCTGCACAGTGTCTGCCACAGGGAGGGGGTCTGCTGCATGTAAAGGCCCTGCACAAGCAGCCCCCCTGTGTACCCCTTCTCCTTAACATATGCAATGAACATCACTACTGAGTCCCCTGCCACCATAGATGGAGATGTGGCAGTCGGCTATGTATTGGTGCCATTTCTCTTCATCACCATTGTCGGAATAGTTGCAGCTGTGGTAAGTGGTTAGTTGGTTTGGGTGGCATAGAGTGACCTACACAGAGCTGACTTCCTGAAAAACATGCTGTCAAATTCATTTGAAAAATGATACACTCACAGCATACATAATACTCACTGTTTTTTCTCTTTCAGGTCATGTACATTCGTAGGAAAAGGAGGTCGGTTTTTAATCTACCTACGTTGATTTCGTGGCACAATGCTTTTGTGATAAACTTGATTGCTTCACCTCTGTGACTCAGTGTAAGTCACTAAATCAATGTTTGCTTTATTCTATTTTGTCCCACAGAATCGACAGACTCCGCCATCAGCTGTTACCAGTTTACACGTATGATCCATCCGAGGAGCTCAATGAAGCCGAGCAAGAAATGTTGTGGCGAGAAGAGGACACGAGGGTATGATGCATCACTGCTTTTCAGACGTTTGTGTTCTCTGGAACATTTTAAACTGCAAGTGAGGCACATTGTGCTTGTGAAATCAGATGAAAATTGCCAGATCATCATTTAGAAAATGCAGGTTTTTTTCTATGACATGATAGCATAATAAAAATCTTTAAATTATAGTGCAACCATAAGGAAGGTAAACATTAGTTCTAAATGTAGACAGTTGGATTAGGCATGTCAGATCTTTATACAGCTGGCCACATTTTCCACAAAAGACACGTCTACTGTTGACTTGTTTTCTCTTAGTGTAGTTTTTTTTTATCTATGTGGTTGTCTGGTTGCACCATTCACGCGAACAACACACCAGTTCCTCAATTTGCTAGTCACTTCCTCATCAGTGTAAAACAGAGTAAAGTGTAGTAGTAGTGGTGAGAGTGGTATAGTAGAGAGGTTGCACTACTCCTTTTGTTTCCGAGCCTCAGATCCCTCACAACAGCAGTCAGTGGCTGGTTTTGGTTCCTCTCAAGTGGAAAAATATTCTATAAACATGGCTGGCACTTTTCTTTCTGCAACAGGATCAGTGTTTACGTTTGGTTAACAGCTTCCGAAAACCTAATCTGTTTTAATGTGCAGAAGTGGCTGTTATGTTATTCAAATGTTAAACCAAAAACAAGTCTTACCTGCTTCTGAAGTTCCTCTGATACTCCTGGTGGTACTAATGATCTAGTTTATAAACAGCTGAAACAGATAAAGAGTGTTATAGACCAAACAACTCAACAGAAGCTAAATTATTGGCCTGGTTGCAGTCAAAAATCATGCACTGAGTCATGACAAACACTAGATGGCAGTATTGGCCACGTTAAGTAAAACAATCAAAACTTGCTCATTTAGTTTAACTCTATGAAATTGGAAGGACAAAGCCATCACATCAAGTTCTGTGTTGGTTTAAGAGGATATTATTAAGCCCTCAAAGGGTCCATTCAGTCAAGTCACAAAACACAATTTTTCAGTTACCCTCACTAGATTACTATTTACTACAAGATAGTTTTGGTTTTATCTGCAGGGATTTCTGCTGCTAATCCAATACAAGATAAATATAAAGTTATATTTGATTTATTTGCTGAAAAAACTCAAAAGCAACATGTCTTTCCAGAAACAGTGTCCCTCTTATTGAGGATAATTCTAATACTTGTAACAGTAAGTATGTTTATATGGTATTCGGGTTTCAGGAGCATTCTTTGGACATGTATACAGTGCATTCAGAATATACGTCTCAACTGGGGTTCTGCAGGGCTGGGGTAGAGAGCACTTATATATTTTTAAAGATCATTTTTGTGGCAGTTTTTGCCTTATATGACACTACAGCTGACGAGAAATGTGGGAAAGAGAGTGGGGTTGACATGCAGCAAAGGGCTCAGACCTTTGAGGTGAGCTAGAGGTCGCACCGGGGTAGAGATGCACGCCCAAAAGACAAGCCCACATTTCTGGTTAGAAGAGAAAAACACAACTACCAAGCCTTGTGAAAGAATTGGACAAACTGGTTTTTAGAAATGCTCAAATATCGCAACACGGGCCTTTCAAGAAGGTGGCTGAAGGAATAACAGAGGGTGACTGTGTTCACACGGTCAAACAAGTCCGCCACCAGTGATACAACTATTTTGACACAAAGACGCAAAATGACAAGTGGCTCCAGCCGTTCCACTTGTCGGTATTTAAACATGATAAATGACATGTTAAGACATGATAATCGGAGCATGCACAGCTGCATGTCAATGGAAATATTAGTGAAATTTTCTTTTTTTCTTTTTTCTTTTAACCATGTAAACTTTAGGAATACTGGTAAAAACTGAAATATTTTGTGTAAGCCAAGGGTCTCATTTATAAACATTGCACACGCACAAAACGAGACCCGAAAGAGGCGTACACCACTTCGCACGGAAAAGTTGTGATCTATGAAAACAGATTTGATGGGAGAAACTTTGACCCATCCTTACGAACATTTTGGCTACAGGAAATTGACAATGCAGATGGTGAGGTGGAAGCCTGATTGGAGAAACTGATGAATATTTTTTGGCACACGCCCTTTTTTGCTTCCGTCATTTTTTGTGTGGACCCTACGAATTATTTTATAAATGAGACCCCAGGACACTGTCCCTGGAAACACACGCTTAAAATTTCAAATCTTGAACAAGTCATGCACAATGAAACATCATTTACCTCCATTGTTTTGGGATGGTGGCAGAAATTCCAGGTGCAGACATCTTGCAGTTTCAATGCAGAAATTGGAAACTATCATGCTGTGTTTTTGTGTGACATTAGAGTGAACTGACCCTTTATCATTGTCTGAATAATTCTACATGTCCTCATTATGTACAGTGTTAAAAGTCACAGTGCTAAACTGAGCTTGCATTTCCTGTCCTCAGATTGTACAAGGCTGGGCCAGAGGTTACCAACAGCGACGCCCTCTTCTCACCAAAGACGTCAATGCATGATGGTGGTAGTAAACCGTGGCAAATGACATTTGCAGTGTGGAGACAAACCTCAGCCACAGACATCAGTCATGTTTGAAGTCATGCACAAGATTTTCTTTGTTTATTTTCCTTTGCTACCGTCTGATCTTTCCTGTCTCATGTACAGACGAGAGTGACTGTTCATCTGCGTGGTTGTGATGCCGATCCTGTGTGCCTAACAGACCTTCAGTTTATTTATTTAACATTATTTATTCAAACCTTTTTTTTTTTACTGTGACGTGACTCAAAGTAAAGAAAGGTGGAATCTTTCTAGAGTTAAAGGTTCCTGTAGGTTTACTATGTTGTTTACATTCATACTGTTGTTGTGGGCAACGTGCGGCGAGTAGTCCTGTTCCTGTGGTTTGCAGTAGGCATTCGCACTGACTTTAATTTAGGGTGCAGAGTGTGGTAAGAGTACGCATGTTGTGCACTAGTTAGAAATCATCACTCCTTCTGTGAGAGGGTTTGTGATCCATGCCTGGGACGGTTGTTGTGTGGAGGCTGTTTGCAGTGTATTAAAAACAAATATGGCTTCTCTAGTGAAATGCTTTTAGTTTGCACTTGTTGACTTGAAACACTGAAGTATGACTTTTAAATTCAAAGTTTCACACTGATAAAGATAGATTTATAAGATAGATGAGCTCTTCAACTGAGGCTGGATGGATTTTATTTCACTTTCATTTTGAGTCAAAACGTTCAGTGCACCCTTTTTGGTTTTAATTTCCTCTGTAGAATTTAACTAGCTGCCACACGATCCCGATCTTTTTGTGGTTTCGCCAAATCCTATGACTCTTATCAATGGCATGAAAAGCCAGATATGGAAGTAAATAACACCAACCCCCTCTCATCCCCAAAATGAGCTGTGACTAGTGCCCTAAATATGTCCTGTCTACAAGGCATGGCACCAGCGCAGATTTACCTCCAGCTGAAGATGAATGCCATAGGTCTGACTGTATCAAGCACTCAGGAAACTTGCTTTTTTTTTTCTTCGTGATGAATTGTAATCCTTCCTGGCCTTTATTTGCCTCTGTGAATGTAAACCAAATACAATTGAACTGTTAAAACTGTTCTTGAAGGGGAACATGTCCTGGTTGTCTTGGACAGATAATTCCTGGACTTGATGTTAACAGGTTCGACATCTCGAGGTGTTTCAGAATGAGACATAGCTTTTTAATACATTGTCATCATCTCTGGACCTGTAACATGTTCCTCTGTGCTCCTTGGTCATCTTTACATCTCACTGTTCATTTTCTATGCATTACTGAATCAACTATGACCTAGGGTAGTTACAATTTAAACTGTACAAATATCCAGTCTTGACACTGAATTGCACTGGTGCAACATGTTTAACTTGTCATGGACGGCTCTGATCTCAGGTGCACATAAGAAGTCAAAGAACTACTGATATAATGTGAATTTGGCAGCACTGTTAAAAGACTGTTGTACCTGTTTGATGCTTTGAGAGTGAACTGACTGAGGCTGTTGATTTAAACATGGAACATATAAATAAAATAATGTAACTTTGTCTTGTGCTCATTGTCAATTGCAGCGTAATTAGCCTGGTAGTCCCAATGGTGTAAAGGACATTATAATGCATACACGCATGTTTAACATTGGTTTAACTGTTCATTGATCTGGACCATAGATTCAATGATTGGCCCAATATTATTAATGCAAAGTCAAAACACATTATACATAGATAAAATCCAAATAATATACATCTTTACACCTTCATTTTAAGATCTCCACTGCATCTGCTATTCACGTCCAAGCGCACAGTCAAATAGTGCTAGCAGCCTAGCACAAGGCACATAATGGTAAGAAGAGAAGAAAGACAGGATATTTACCGATATCGTCATATATTGACAGCAGGCCTCGGAGTTGAATCGAGATCATACCTTGGCCCACTTTGCGATATCAATAAATAACAAATCGTGCTAAGAAGTGATAGATCATGATAAACCATTGGATTTACAGCAGTAATCATGGTTCCTATAGCTTAAAGTAAGAAACTTGAGACTTGAAGACTTTTTCAAATGTCAGTTGGAATGAAATTTTAGACCAACAACCAAAGTTAAAGAAAAATAATTGACATTAATTAACAAGTGTTTGTGCTTCTCATTTCTGCATGTGGGAATCCACTGCCTTGATTCCCTTAGTGCTGACTTTGGAGAGTTTTGAATAAAATACGCTCCTTGCCATTGCCTTAACAGGAGTTCACCCATGCAGTGAAATTTTGGTGACATAGCCCAACTTTTGTTTGCCAATTCCTGAGATTTTGCAATGCATCGTCAGAAACAAATTGTAAAACCCTACTTTCCATTAAGACTTTAGAAAGATTCAAGGCATTTTGCTACTAATCAAAGCCCTATTTTACATGAACGAAGTGAAGTCAATGACTTGAAGGAACCCTTCTACTGCTTAGTTGAGCGAATGGAAAAACAAAACGACAGAAAATTGACAAAGAAAATTCTCTTTATTGACCATTTCTGATACAAATTGTTGTAGGGCACCATAGAAATATAGACATTGTACATTTATATACGGTGTACATTAAAAAGAATGATCCCATCCTATTGAGTTTACAGTATATAAATGAACGGATGCAAGATGTTGGTATGTAAAATGACACCGGTATTGTCCAGAGTAGTTGGAGGATGTGGAAAAACAGAAGACACGAAATGTCCATTGTTTGACGTTATGAGTATGGCGAGGGTGGCTGTGTGTGTGTGCGGTAAACACACAGCGGCCGACGGAAACAGTTAAGTGGAAAGAGCGCCCAGTCTATCACAAACACACAAACATTTGTCCATGAAAATCTGAACCAACATTTCAGTGCACCAGAAGAATAAAAACACACCTGCTAATCTACCACAGTCAGCGAACACAGTTGTCAAGCTGACAGGTCTCCCTGACTTGCTTCACACATTTTTTTTTTAAAAAAAACAAACCTGTCTGCAAGCTCCGGTTATGAACGAGCCTAGAAGTGCTGCATGTGCGCACACAATCACAAACTTGGCTTCTTAGATACCTCATTACAGTCAGGTTTAAAAAAAAAAACAAAAAAAAAAAAAAAACATGAACTTTGTAATAACGACATCTTTCCAACTCATGCCAGAGGTTACATTTAAAACAACAGAACCAGTTAAATGCAATTATATGGTAGAGTAAGCTGTTGAGTGAGGTATGAAATCCCAGGCCGTGTATCGCCTGTTTGCAGTTTTCCGGGTTTCGTAACTGAGGTTGTAGCAGCTTAGGTGTGTGGAAAAACCCAGTTAAGTGGACTGTGACTGCGGGTTCCCTGACACTTAGAAATACACAAACATTTTTTATCCTCGTAGCAGACAGCATACAACACACATCTTCGAAAGACTAAGAAAAGTAGATTAACTGTACTAAGTGATGACAGAAGCTAGGTGAAGCCGTGAGAGCTAGATGGAATGAAGAACGTACAGCCCTGTTGGATAGCAGTGCCACCGACTATCCTCTGTTACAATCAAACTCCTTGTTTGACCAATTGCAATTTGCCTTTGCGAGTGATTGGGTGAGCGCTTGGAAACCGAGGACCATGTGAAGACAAAGACGCCAATGTAACAGCATTTTGTAAAAGCTCCCTGAAGAAACGACACTGATGCTCTCAGCCTAGAACTCTGCCAACCCTATCCTTAAAAACACACATTATACCAAAAAAGATTTGAGTTTTATTATGACATGAAAAGCAGCACACTCATGTTTTTTTATATGGTATGTAACCCGAAGGAACAAAACAGTAAGTCTGATCAGACCGATTACTAACGATACACTTTTACATCTCCCCACTACACGCTGAGGACCGCGAAGGAAGTCTGAGAAGCATAACTATATCTAAACTGTCCTACAGGAAGGAAGGGAAGGTGGTAAATGCTTCTGCTCTACTGGTGAGACGGGGGCGAAATCAGTTAAGCAGATTAGAAACGGGAGAAGGAAAAAAAAACAAACACTTCTACCATCTGTTACCTATTCTCATCCTAAACGCTGAAGCTCAACTCCATCTATAATACGACGCAAAGGATAGGTTAACCACTTCACACGAACACACAAAAAAAAACAGCAAGTATAGGTAAAATTCACCTTTGTCCAGTACAAAACATGGAGAAAAATCTATATGCCCTACCATCTCAGATGCGGGTACAACAAATAAGTAACATTAAGCAGAGAAAATTTCCTACAAACCATCTTAAGGGGGGGGAAACGGAAACGTCCAGGCTCCGCGGAGCACGCTTTTGTCCAGTATAAAAGACTTGTGATAACATGACATGTAGAGAAAAGGGCTGTTACCTTTCATGTATTTCTTAGATCTATGCTTGAGCAAGGTCCATCGTTCTATCCAGTGCTGTTGCATGATATTTGTACTGTGTTAACCCTCCTTTTTTGGCAAAAGAGGGCTTTGTCGTGAACAGTGGTCATGTGGTGGCACTGGTGTTGGAGATACAGCCCAGTTCTGGTTAACAGTAAGTCAGTATGTTGAGTGAGGTAGCATGCGTTGTGAATTACTGGTCCTCTTCCTCTTCCTCCTCCTCAGATGATTCCTGGGACGCCTTTTCTTCCTTCTCCTGTGACAGAAGGGGGAAGAGAGGAAAAAAAATCCAGTCAGCCCTCGACTACGCCCACAAGGAAAATGCCTCTCAAGTGCCATCAACGTTTAGCAACAATAGCTGCCTGTGATTCATGTCTTAACCTAGCTGTTTTGCTTTTAATAACCCCAAACACCAGTATGAAGAAAAAAATATTATACATCTCTTTGATAAACCACTGTGGCATGAAGAACACCCAAGGGAAGGGGTGAGCCATCTGCAGTGAGGAGTGATTCATAAGACTGGTGAGTCACAATGAGGCATCCTGCTTTTGCTCCCTCGCTTTCCCTCCTCACACTCACTACTGCCCAAGATGTTCATTCATAAAAATGAGAGGGGCTGGTTAGGAGGGTAACGTTGGGTCATTCCTTTCTGTGACTAATTCAATCCAGACTTGTTTCAAGAGTACGCCCTAACCACTCATGCACATGACAGAATGTTACTACAAGGCCGCAATTTCTTCCTAGATTAAACATGCTTTTCTGACCTGCTCTGCAGTCTGGCAACTCTTCCTGCAGAAAGGAACTGCCGAGTTACTCAACGTTTGGATTAGATGGACTTTGAAAATAATTGCCGTGCAGGTTCAGATTTGCTGACCAGGTAGACTTTGTGACCAAGTAGCTGCTCTAAATGAACACACTGTGCATGATACAAATAGCTGTGATGAGTAAAAATGACTCGTCTGAGGGGAAGGAGGCAGGCAGGGGAATTAGGGAAATGCAATTTCGCCCTGCAGACAGTCATACCAATCATAATTCAATTGGGAGAGGAATGGTTTAAACAAATGTGAGTGCTGAGTGTTCGTCAAGGGACTCTTACCTCCTTCTTAGGTCTTCCCCTGCGCTTTCCCCCTGCAGACGGAGCTGCTGCTGCCTTCTGTGAAGGAAAAAGTACATGTTGACAGAGCTGCGGGCGGGGCGCGGCGGTGCATTGTAACGCTCAGAGACCTGCTGATGTGCTCATTTAAAGCACAGACTTTTTAAAGGGGGATCAGTGCAACAAAACCTGTAGCATAAACAAGCCAAATCTCCACTAGACTCTGCTTCTAGCTGCCTGCAGGTGGCAGTAGCACCTCTGAAATGAGACAGATGGAAAGGGGGCATTGGGTTCATTGGCTATTATCTGGAAGGCCGACAGGAACTGCACACAGGGCACTCCAGTTCGCTGGCCACCTGGTCTGAGGCTCAGAGACAGCTGGTGGAACTGAGCGGAGACACAAACCCTCTGCAGCTCGGCCCTCGCTGCTAAACCTATATCATACATGCGTGTGTTTTACTTTCTCCGTCTCGCTCCCTTTCCCATACATAGCAGTGGAAGACCGAGCGCACGGGGGAGCTGGAGGGTTGGGGCGAGGGAGAAAAATCAGTTGTTGCTATGGAGACGACAGGCAGAGAAGAACTAGGGCTGTGTGCTGGGTGGGGGTGGAGGGGTGCTTAGTGTCAGCTTGGAAACAGTCTTGTGGCCTCTGCACCTGCACCGCACTGTGCATGACAAGCTGCAGGAAGCTGGAGGACAGGAAGTACAGAGTGAGCATCACTCAAAAAAAAAAAAAGTAAGGCAGTAAACCAAGGTCTTTACAATGGGAAACCCAAGCCAGGCTATTTCTGACAACAGGAGGGGGGGGGAAGCGGCTAAATTGCAGTCGGGCAATATATCACAAGTAACAGCAGGATGTCCTTTTAAGAGGATGAGGTTAGCTACTGTTAAAGTGGTCATCAACCATAAAGGAATCAGGGGTTAGAAAAGGGAAATGATTGTGAAGCTGTGCCTGTCTTTCTTGGCATGGACACCATCCCGGCTCAGGATGCATGCTAGCTGTTGCTGAAATTGTGACCTGTCGCCATGTAAAAACATGCCCGCAGACGGCATTGACTTACCTTGGCCTTGGCGCTTGTCTTGTTTTTGCTGCCCTTCGGCCGTCCTCTGGCCCTCTTTGGAGTAGGGGACCCACTTGGTTCCTGACAAGACAGTCAAAAGATAGTTAGCATACCGCACACATCTACATGATTTCAATATTTACAACACTTGACACATAATGAGGAGGAGGATAAGGTCTTCGTTCAAAACACACATGCTCACACAAAGTTCACTTTTCAAGGTCAGTGCAACACGTGAACTTTAAAGACTGACAGGTGCTCAGAGTCTGACATGGAAACAAACTATGGAAACTGTTGTCAACTTCACAAAAGATAAAACAACTGACCAAAACAGGCTATCTGGAAGCGAAAATGAAAGCAGCCACCCTGAGGTGTAGAAAGGGGAATTATCTGAGGGGGATTACCACCAGCTCCAAAACGCAAGGTAAATTCACCATCTTCATGTGACGATTTGTGGTTGGGAGCCCTGTCATGGCGGCCCTTCCTCCTGTTACACTCCTAAGTGTGTTTACAACCGCAGCTCGTAGCAACCGTGCAATTCAATACTAAAACACATGGCTCTGAGTGACAGCTATACGAGCCATTCTGTGCTTCTCCTCGGCTATGTCATCCATTACATGACGGGCAGAGGTGTGTCGTGATGGGGGGTTAATGCAGGTTTAAAGGTGTTGGGTTACAGGTTGCTTACACACCCGGTGAGACACACAGGAAGTTTGGTGTAGACTTCTACGCTTACACTGATAAGAGGTGAGCAAATGGTCACAGGGGCTCGCTGCGGCCATATCTTGATTCTCTGGCAGAGAGCTTATGTTATAGATATGCATGAGCACCTCACCTGCAGTGATATCCACCTGGAGCAGCTGTGAGCTAAGGTTAAAGCCCCCTCTTTTCAAAATGCATGCCTTGGTGATGTTCTCATGGCATGCACACTTGACACAATGACACTTTTCCATGAAATGAAGAAATTGGCACTACTTTACTTACGTCAGAGGTCTTTACCTGGGGCTGCTTGCGGGGTCTTCCACGCCCCCTCTTCTCTGTTGCCTCCTTCTCCTTCGGTGAGACTGTCCCCTTGTCGCTCATGTTTGCTTTGCTTTAGAGACCTGGGGGAGAAATCACACCGGTCAGGCTTGCTGCAGGACGAGGCATCATGTTCACACACACACATGCAGAGACAACACAAGGGCTATTAAACTCACTGACCGCAGCAGCAAACCAAAAATGACCGGGGCTAACCGCACGCCGGTAACACGTTTAACTCAAATTAATCCGCGCTTATTTCCAGGTCTATTTCTGTCTCACCCGCGCTCCGTTACACCGCCGACGGTGCCTCACCAACAAGGGATTGACACCGAACCGACTCCCATGATATCGCTGGGACTTTGTAGGCGGTCACAGGCCGCATAAATCTGCAAGCTTACTGAACCCGATGCTCCCTCCCCGCACCGACCGACCATGTTTAGAGGCCCTATGCTGTAGTTGTTGTGGCCTGCGCATGAAACTATCTCAGCATGTCTGCACGCCGGGGCCGGGGACATATCCACCGACACACACACAATGGCTCGTGTGTGCTCGGTGGGATTTGGTGTTTAAAACACAGCCTGCATGGAAATAAAATAGCAGTGGAAATGCAAGCGAGCGGCGGTGAGAGCCCGGGCCGGAGCAACAAAAGACGGCTTCATATTTAAAGCATGCAGCCTCCTCTCGCCGGAGCTCCGGCTCTGTAAAATGCATTAAAAACACCGTCCTGTCTCATCGAGCATGCAAAGTTTCCCCCAGCTCACCGTGTCGTTTCCTGCACTCACCTTCCTCGCTCCGATATAACCTCTGCTCTGAATTTAAGACCCAAATGTTTCCTTTAAGCCTGGCTGGTTGTACCCGGTTAAAAAGCCTTGCACAGATCTATAGGCTACAGCTTTTATTCGTCAGGCTACACACACAGCCCGCCCCTTTCAAATCCCAGCTCATGCACCGCTTAGAAAACCACCATGAATTACAAATACACAACACAGGCTTTATTTTTTTGATAAATAAGCTTTGAGATTCTTACCAGCAGGTTGAGAAGTTTGCTCTTTCGACGTCCTAAAAATAGCACGTGTGTCTTGTCTCCTGCAGATAATGGAAAAGGGCGCCAGCCAGGAGGAGTTTTGAGGCAATTTAAAGAGCCGCCCTCATGGGAGGGCGGAGATATGATAAAAAAGGGCCACCAACAGCACCACGGAGGCCCCGCCCCCTCACCATCACTCCCCAGGTTTAATAACAAAACACCAAAAAGCATGTGTAAGTTTCAGAATATACTTTCAGCTATACAAGAAAGTTTTATCAAGTACGATCTGGTGAGGAGGAGGATGCGTGTTCAGTATATCATCTATGTTTCATCGCTTTAAGTCCCCGAATCACCTCTGCCTTATTTATGATTTTGTGGGTTGGGCACAGTGGTGGAAAGTAATTACTTACATTTACTCAAGTACTGTACCTGAGTACAGATTTGAGGTATCTCTACTGGTTTGAATAAACAGTTATAGACGCCTGTCCCAAATATAGGTCTGCTGATTTCAGTGATTTAAGTTTAGTTTAGTTTATTTGTACATACATGTATAGACAATACAGTAAAAAGAAATTAAAAGTTAAAACATTGAGCAAGAGAGGTTAGAAGCCAAATATGGCTCATGAAGATACAACAATCACACAGAAAAAGAAAAAGATAAAAACAAAGATTGCATGATTGAATAAGAGTTACAGACTATGAAGACATACAAAATAAATAAAAAAATGAACAAATTACAAATGAATCAATGAAGTGTTCAGTCTTTGCACATTAGAGTCCTTATCAGATGTTTTTTGAATAACAATAATGTAGATGATGATTGTAGAGATGGAAGAAGGTTCTTCCAAAGAGACGGTCCTCTGTATTTCAATGAATACTGATTGAGAGAGATTTGACAATATGGAAGATAAAGGTCTCTAGAGTGTTGAGTACTCAAGTATTTCCATTTTATGCTACTTTCTACATCTATCTAACCACATTTCAGAGGTAAATATGGCACTTTTTACTCTACATTTATTCTAAAGCTTTTTGTTTCCAGAGCCACATGCAGCTCTTCAGACCCTCTCCAGTGGCTCCCTGTGGCTTTGACATAAAACTATATGGAAATGAATCATGATTATTTTTTATTATTCAGATTTTCATTTGTCAGTGTTATAGTCCTGAAGTGATTATTGCATTCAACAAATGTCAAAATGTGAAGCCTGTACGTCAAATTCAAAAAACATTTTCACGATTCATCACCAAAAATGTGCGTCATACGTCTACTACCTGGTGCCTCTGCCTCAAAATTTTGCTTAACTTCAGTAGCGTTGGCTACTTGGGGTCTGTCTAGCATGGCAAGCTGTGTATTCTAAATCTAAAATAGAGGTTTTAATACTGTGTGGACAGATTTATTTGCTTTCACCTCACCACCAACGCTGCAAAGACAACTGCAGAGTAGCACCTTGTAGTAAATCATATTAATGAATGTTCATTTAGGCGTAATCGTAATAATGATGGGTTCATTTAGACTTAACAGACTGTTACCTTTATTCAAATATGTTTTATGGCTCCAGACAGATTTTATTTTTTGGCCAGTAATGGCTCTTTAACAGTAAAGGTTGCCCACCCACCCAGCAGTATATACAGCAATCTAAACTAGCTCCACCTTCACCAGCTGCAACATTAAAGTGATGAACACATAACTGTATCAATAATAATAATAATAATAATAATGATAACTTGAATTTATATAGCGCCTTTCAAGAAATCCAAGGACGATAATTATAATTCAATAATATATATGATTCTGTAACAGGCTATCTTCATGATGAGTACTTTTCTTTTTGGTACTTTACTTTGGAGCCTATTCTCGCTGACAATGGGTGAGAGGCAGGGTACACCCTGGACAGGTCACCAGACTATCACAGGGCTGACACATAGAGACAGACAACCATTCACGCTCACATTCACACCTACGGACAATTAACCCAGCCTGCATGTCTTTGGACTGTGGGAGGAAGCCGGAGTACCCAGAGAAAACCATGCTGACACGGAAAGAACATGCAAACTCCACACAGGGGGGCTCCTCCACCCAGGGTTCAAACCAGGAACCCTATTGCGGTGAAGCGGCAATGCTAACCACTTTACCACCATGCCACCATTATACATCATACGTATGATTATATATACCCAGTAAACTTCATCACAACAGTCTCACTTTGCTCTTTTTGGTCTCCACTGCTCTGGTATATTTTTATTGTATTCTTATTTAAGGTTATGTAACTCCTATTATTGATTTCTGTCACTTTCTATACTTGTCTGAATCTATTTCCACCCTCGTGCTGCTTCCTCGCTGGGGATCTTAGATGTATCGTAATTCTGTATGCATGTGGTCAGCAGTACATACCACAGTCTCCACAGTGATGGAGGGTGAACTCTGACCTCCCCCAGTGTAAACACAGAGCAGTTTAAAGCTCAGAGAGCCATTTCTTGTCATTTTCCTCTTAAAGCATTATCTTCTTCAGTGATGGATGACTTTTTCAGATTCTTTACTGGAGTAGAAGTGCAACAATTTGCCCCAATGCAACAAGTCCTGTCACAATGTTAAGTAAAAGTAGGCTATGTGAGTCAGTGAATTTTTTTTTTTTTTTTGCTGGGAGATATGTGATGTGGTACACTGTTACATATGGCATTATTGGATTAGGATATTACTGTTCTAGTTGTTTGAGGTGGAGCTAATTTTAATCTACTTCATATACTATTGGATGCTTTAATGTTTAATGTTGTGGTTGTACAATCTTATTTTAAAAAGTAACACAAAGCTACGGCTGTCAGATAAATGTAGTGGCACAGAAATATAAAGTACAATAATCTCTGAACATGGCTGCTGCAGAAACCATGTACTCTCTCTTTCCACCTCCAAATGATGATACAACTTTCTCTCATAACTTATAGACTTCTCTTGTGCTATCTGAAGGTGTAGTGTCAGCTGTTTCTAAAATGAAATCTTTTATTAAACCCTTTAAGATACTTTTTTTCATGATTTTGAAATCACATTTCTGTCTTAAAGCAACACTTCACTCCCCAAATGACCAACTGTATCATAATTACTCACCCTGTGTCACACTGAGGTCATGAAGAAAACAGTGGATGCCTCCACTGGGAATGAGGAATCCAAAAAAAGGGAAAGTTCTTGATGAATTTGAGTCATACGCAACCGTGTTCAACAACAGCAAAACTTTATCAAACATCAATTTAAACACGCTCACACAACCTGTGCAGTATCATCCAAGTTGCATTTATCCAGTTGTATACTTCGTACGTCCCATAACATCCCAAACAGACCACCCTTTAAGGACAGGGAACTGAACTTCCGTCAAACTTACATGTCCTCTCTTCAAAGCCAGACTCCATTGATAAAAACAGTAATTTCACCCCACTGAGCACTAAAGCTGCTGGTGTACTGCTGCCTCCATCAGATAGCTTGTTTGTCTTATTGTGTGACTTCAATGTTTTAAAGGGTTAGTTCTGATTCACCAAAGTTACACAATAACACCAACAAACTACCAATCGAGGCGGCGTTAGACCAGCAGCGTCTGTGTTTATCTAGGTAAAATTACCGTCTTCGTCAATGGATTCTGGCTTTGAAGAAAGCGTAGATAAACTTCCCTATCTGTTTAGTTCGTCACTGGAAAGGGCGGTCCGTTTGGGAAGTACTGATCATACGACTGGATAAAGACATTGCATATGCTTCATGCGTTATGTATGACTTGTGAACGGATGTTTCGATATAGTTTTGCTGTTGTTAAACGCAGCCACCTACGACTTCAATCCATCAAGAATTTTCTCTGTTTTGGGATTATTTGTTCACCGTCGAGGAATGTGAGAAAAACAAAGGTTTCTTCACGAAGTCAGCGTTACACAGGGTGAGTAACTGATATACAAATGGCCATTTTGTGGGGGAAGTGCTCCTTTAATGCAGGAAAATGGCCCAAGAGATATATAACACTAATATATATGATAACATTGAATGAGGATTTTACGATGGAAGTTGGTTGAGTTGGAGCTAAATTCAATCTGCGTCATATATTGTTGGATAACTGATAACATGTTTTGGTTGTAAATTCTTATTTAGTAAAGTGACAGGTACTGACAGCTGTCATAGAAATGGAGTGGAGTAAAAAGCACAATAACTTCCTCTGAAAGTAGTGAAGCTGAAGTATACAGACGCATAATCTCTGAGCATGATTACTCAATTACTTGCTCTCATAAGTTAGAGATTTGTATTTTGGTGGTGCTTTAATGGTTTTAATTGCCCTTGTGCTATCTTAAGGTGTTATGTAGGTTGTTTCTAAAATGAAATCATTTATTTAACTGCATTAGAATTGTTATTCTTGATTTTATTCTGTCTTAATTTTGATTTGTGGACTATTTGTGTTTCCAGTTTTATTTTATTTTACTTATTGTTGCCTATCACCAAAACAGTCTTGAAAAAGGGTGTTTATTTAAATTCAATGAGGCTTTCAAAGTGGAAAACAACTTAACTGACAGTGACTGACTTGTGAAAAAAGAACATTTTGGTGGTATTGAGTAGTGAAGAGGAGAATGTCCATATTTTTTTGAAAAATTAAGCCACACAAAGTAAAGAGCACTAGAGCAAACTCGCGTTACTCTTCTGTACTTTCCTCATTGTTCAATGAAAATGGCTGCAGATTTTTTTCCATTTCCAGTACCTCTGAAGAGCAGGCATCAACATATGTAATGGAAGTGATTTCAGCTGTAATGGTACACAATATTTCAGTAAAAGTACAGTCAAATTCACAAAAAAAAGCCCCTCGATTACCCAGTGAGAGCTATATGTCACTATAGAGTTATTTCTTGAGTATAAGCAAGTACTTGCGCCCCTACTCTATAGGACATAATTCATTCCTAATTACGCTTCTGGGTCTGCTTCTACCTTTCCTACTACTGCCACTTTCATTCATTCAGACGCAGGTGAACCCTCCATGTTGCTCCCACCTGGTGCTGATGGGACCACTTTGCATTTAAAATGAATGAACATCTGACATGTATTGCATGGGTGTGGTGGAAACAGACGAGACAAGGTGAAGGTACAGAGACACTCCGCACT